GTGTGCCGGCGCCGCTAGGCGGAGGATTAGCCTAGTGAGCCGCGGCGCCGGCCATGGGGTCTCTGTCTTGACACCATCTCATAGGCAGCTGTCCAGCCACTAGGAATCATGGTCTTAGCCAGTCCTCGGAGGAAAGAACGTCTTCTATTGGGAGTTTATGGGAGATCCTAAAGAGAGAATGGGACTTCGATGACTTAAAAATGGTATGCAGTGTCATTGCTGGTGCCTGTTTCCTATGAACTATATGTGTGGGGCAGGATTTGGTCTAAGACTACTTGTGTTATTCCTTCTTACCATTCCTTCTTAAAAACTTCTTGACAGCAGGATTAAAAGGTAACATGGGAAGGGTGAAAATATTTATGGAAATAGCCCAAATATTCTGCATAGCCATGTGTATTTAGGGCACCCACCCTCAAGTCCTTTCTTTGTGGTCTAGTCGATCGAAGTAGTGTTCTCAGGGACCCGCTTTGGGGAAGTATACGGTCAGCTCACAGCAGGGAGTTGGTTTAGTAGGCAGTAGTCCCATCAGTGTATCGTAGACTGGAGTGGTTTGTTTAGTTCTTTTCTGTTGTTTTTTTTTTTCTTTCTAATCTTTGATGCAACTTATAATACAAGTCTGAGAGGCACCAAGATGAAATCTCATTTAATTTTGCATGTAATGAACTGTTTTCACTGAAAGAAGTAGATTTTGGGAATACGTAGAAGATCAAAGAAGTGGTTAGTCTGTCTCTGCGTAGATGAAAATTGGAGCAGGTAGGCACAAGCTGGATGTGTCTCTGTGTTTGAGTGCCCCACAGTAATAGAGTGACATTCAGATGACTAATTACAAATTGCATTTTAAGAGAGATGACGCTGTGACACACAGCATCCTAAGATAGGAAATCCATTGTGGTGAAAAAGTTCACTGTTTCTCTGGCATCCACAACCAGCACACACTGAGTAATCGAGCAGAGCAGTGCGTGGAATAAATACAGTACTTGACTTCTGCCCAAATCTTTTTGCAAAGAGGAAGTAGAGCCTTTCTGCTCTTTGACACACAAAAGCACATTGCTTCATAGTGGATTCCACAGCCAAAGCAAAATCCAAACAAAGGCGCATCTTTCTACTCTAACCTACATACAATGGAAGTGAGATTCCAAGTATGCCAGTGGTGGGAGGAAAGAATTGCATTTTCCCTTCTCCACTTATTGGATATTGTTGAGAATATGGGTGGCAGTTGCCCATGAATTGGATGATTAATATACACCACTCTTTTTTCTTTAATATTTTTTCTTTTTCTTTCTTTTGAGATTTATTTTATTTATTTGAAAGACAGAGTTACAGAGAGAGGTCCTCCATCTGCTGGCTCACTCCCCAGATGGCCGAAATGGCTGGAGCTGCGCTAATCTGAAGCCAGGAACCAGGAGCCCCCCTCGGGGTTTCCAATGTGGGCGCAGGGGCCCAAGGACTTAGACCATCTTCTACTGCTTTCCCAGGCCATAGCAGAGAGCTGGATTGGAAGAGGATCAGCCGAGACTAGAAATGGCTTCAGGCCAGGGCTTTAACCCGCTGCACCACCACACCGGCCCCAATATTTTTTTCATTCTGCTTTTGATCTATTGTTTCTTTGATTCTTTTTCTGCCCCACCAAAGATTCCCTTTCTGTAGGCCTGTTGTTTCTTTCTAGATGTCTGTAAGATTCTCTTATATCTGTCATGGGCTCAGTTTGGAAAGGAAGTGAGAATTTATGCATTTATTCTTCTGGTGGAAGTGCAAGTGGAACTGGCACCATTTTACAGCCATTTCTGCAAAGTGGATGTCCCAAGGTTTCCATTTGGAGCCCTGAGGATGCAGAACCAGATCCTCAGCTTTCTGCCCTCACCACTTGCTTGCCTAGGCCTCACAGGAGTTTGTAGTTCACTGTTCTCTGGGAACCTGGTTTTGCCTGTCTTTCTGTTTTCCTCTCTGTTCCCCCACTCCCCTTCCCCTTCCCGCAACAGGTCCTAGCCTGTGCTCCAAATCAGGTAGGCTTCAGCATTTGTTAGCTATTTCCATCCTTTGGAGGACTGTTTAGGGCACTGTTGAAGCAGCAAAGGAAATGACTTTGCTGGAGCCACACATGAAGGAGGAGGCTAGGCTGGGATGGTGTGGGCGGTTACAGGTGTTTGAAAACTCGGGGGCAGAGGGCACTGGGGAAAGGAGAAATGCAGAGAGAAATCTGGGGTCCTGTCCTTGGAGTTCAGCTCATCAAGACCCACATACACTGAAGGCATCCAAGTGACATCATCGAAAGTCTTGACAGCACTGTGTGTCGCAGCAGTCACTAGTCACCTGTGGCTGTTCAGATGGAGTTCATTAAGAATTTAGCTTCTGCGTCACACTGACCACAGTGCCAGTGCTCAGAGCTACGTGTGGCCGGTGGATGCTGTCTAGGGCAGTTCAGATGTCGATTTCTATTTTCTCAGAAGCTGGGTTTTAGACAATGCTGCTCTGAGGGTTGACAACATCTTCTTGTGTTTCATTCCTTGTTTGTTCATTCTACAAATATTATTCGAGTACCTGCTTGGTTCCCAGCGCTACTGCTCAAGAGCTTTTGTGCATAGATGTTGCAGCAACCTTGTTTAAGCTGCTCACTCACTATGTGACCTCAGGCTAGTCCCTTAACCTCTCTGTACTTTGGTTTCATTGGCTGTAGGATGAGTATAATGAAATATCTATCTCATAGGGTTTTTGTGAGAATTAAATGAATGAGTGTGTGTATATATGCGCACATATATAAATGCATGTATGTGTATGCATTATGTGTGTATACACATACATTCTCATGAATCTTCACTTTCTGATATACACTCAAGGTTTGCTAACTGAGAGTACTTATCATTTCTTGTGACTGTTTATTACAACATGATGAACCAAACAACTGTGGTGCCTGTTGTCCTGGAGTTTATCATCTAGTGGGAGCAGCAGACAATAAATCATTAAACAAGTTAATCATTACAAATTATGCCAAGAATAGCATAGGAAATGAATGGGTAGAAGCAACAAAGAGTAAGAGAAGAAAAGTTCCCTAGGAAGCTTCTTACAGGAAGTGATATTGAAGCTAAAACAGAGGAGAAATATCAGATATGCAAAGGGAGGAGGAGAGGGACTCCCAGGCAGAGGACAGCACACCCTAAAAGAGGACCACAGGGCCTTATGACAGGGCAAGGGAGGGGCTGCAGGTGAGGGTGGAAGAACAGGCCAAGAGGAGCCAGTTCATACAGGACTGACCCTGGTGGTAGATTATGCAGAGCAGTGTGGGGGTGGGGGCGGGCTGTGTATTGTGTCGCCGTGGGTTAAGCCTCTGTCTGGGACAACCACATCCCGTATTGGAAGGCTGGTGGCAGTCCCAGGTGCTCTACTTTCAGCATAGCTTTCTGTTAACACACCTGGGAAAGCAGTGGATGGTGACTCAATACTCAGTTTCCTGCCACCCGTTGTGGAGTTCATGGCTCCTGACTTCAGCCTGGCCTAGCCCCCTGTTCTTGCAGTCATTTGGGGAGCAAACCACAGAATGGAGGATCTCTTCCCTTCTCTTACTTCCTCTCTCTCTGTCACCCTGTCTTCCAAATAATTAAATACATAAATTATTTTAAAAAGAGTATGCCATGGGAAATCTATTTATTTTTTATCACTCTGGAGCTATGCAAGTCATAAATTGGGGTAAGAATGAGAGGGAAAGCAGAGAATCCACGAGAAGGCCATATTAATAAGCCAAGCCAGGGCAAATCATTCAGACACAGTGGCCGTGGACTAGAGAGAAATGAGCAGTTTCAAGATACAGAACCAGTGCTGATGGATTACATGTGGTTCATAAGAAGGAGGCATGAGGTTGCTGCTGAGGCTTCTGACTTCATTAACTGGGTCAGTACAAGTTTCATTTACTGAGACAAAGAAAGCCCGCAGAGAACATTTTTGAGGAAGAAAAAGCAAAGCGACTTGATGACAAGTAGTGTGCTGGATACGAAAATCTGGTGTCCAGATGAAAGGCTGTGCTGAAGACAGGCACGTGGGCATTGTTAGCTAATAGGTGACATTTAAATTTAAGAGCTACAATAGGAGACCAGCTTAGGAAGAAGTCCAGAAAACTTCCTCCTCACTGAAGCAACCACAGAACCAAAGCAATGATTTTATAAAAATCATCTGGAGCCAGTGCTGTGGTGTAGCAGGCAAAGTCACCGTCTGCAGTGCCGGCATCCCATATGGGCACTGGTTCAAGTCCCGGCTGCTCCACTTCTGATCCAGCTCCTTGCTAATGTGCCTGGGAAAGCAGTGGACTATGGCCCATGTGCTTGGGTCCCTGCCATTCATGTGGGAGACTCGGAAGAAACTTCTGGCTCCTGGCTGTGGCCTGGCCCAGCTCTGGCCATTGTGGCCATTTGGGGAGTGAACCAGCAGATGGAAGATCTCTCTGTCACTGTCTCTCCCTCCCTCTCTGTAACTCTGCCTTTCAAATAAATAAATACTTATTTTTAAAAAATAAGTTTTAAAAATAAAATAATAAAATGAACAACATCTCTGGAAATTGTCCTAAAGTCATAGAGCAAAGGCAGTGATAGTCAAGTAAATATACTAAAAATCTATAATCCTCTCCCAGCTCCACCTTATGGAATCACCTCAGTGGGGTGCATGCCAGCATTTTTCATCCTCCTCAACAAGCCCCACATTGCAGAAACTCTAGGGGCTCCCTTCTTCTGCCCAGCACCCACTTGGAGGACACAATCTATGTACTGGATGCAACAGGCCATTAACCTTGGACTCTTGCAATTCCTGACCATCAGATTAGTAAGGCAAAAATCCTGTGTGAAGAGGGCCAATCCAGGAAGACCTGAGCTACTACTACCCCCAGCACCTGCTTTCAGAGTAGGGTGTCATTGTCAGACAATAGTGCCTCTGTCCCTACATTGAGACCGTGAACAGTGGCACAGAGTTTAGCCCACAGAGATAAAGATGCTGCTGCAGATTGTTCTGAGGTCACTGACCTTATATGGAGAATTCTATCCCGAGAGTGGTGTTGAAAATATTGGAGAACCAGTGAAGACCACTGAATAGGGTGTTCATTGCTCTGCAATGCAAAAAAACAAACAAACAAAAAAGTGAAGACATCAGAAGTTGAACAGAACCATGGTAACAGACAACTAAGAACAGTAATCCTAGGAGCACAGTAAGCCTTGGGTGTTGATGGGCTGCACCCATGCAAGAGCATCACAAGAGAATACAGGGTGATCTTGTAAACATTTCACCTGTTTGTACAAACAGAAATCCATCACAAAGGGTAAAAGCTGGCACATGTGCTAGGAGACTTAAGGTCCCTCTAACTGACCACTGGCTGAACAACCACCTAGTCCAACCCAGAAGCAACTACCAAGAAGTGAAGCTTAGGAATAACCTCACATATATATCTCTTGTAGTCTAGAAAACCGTGTTACACATGGCTGCACCTCCCAAGAGAGAATGAAGAGGGAAAAATCAAAGTTACTAATCATTGGATGAGCAGGAGGTAGAAATAAAAATGGCATTACATGTGAGAACAGCCGCCAGGATATTTCTTCATCCCATGGTAAGGCACAAAAATGTAGCTGCCAAAGTGGAGCAACCTTTTATTACTAAGTGACTTATGGCAGTTAAAAGTGACCCCTAAATAGCCAGATGAAAAGATAAAAACAAGGGACGAATAAAAGGAGGGACATCAGGGCTGTACACTGAAAGGCAATGGTCTCAGTGTAAAAGTGCATTCAGCTAAGTCACTAAACAACTCAGTGACATGGAAAGCAAAAGCAACACTCTCACCCTCTCAGGAGGTGGAAGGGAACAGGAGCTGGGATCAGTATCCAGAGTAATGCAATATGTTATCTAAACTGTACAAATTTCAAAAAATTTTTACAAGACATTCAAAGAAGGAGAAAAGGATGATCCATGTAATGGAAGAGGAGGGATTCAGCAGCTACTGTTTAAAAAGAAAAACTGGGATGTTGTACCTGGCTTCCCAAAGTTCCAAAGCATTTATGATAAATATATTCAAAGAAATAAAGAAAAATACACTTATAGGATTAAGGGAAGGTAAGAGTACAAGATATGGGTCCAATACAGAGCATCTATTTAGAAATGGAAGCTATGAAAAAGAGCCAAATAAAAATTCTTCAGTGTGAAGGGGAAAATTCACTAGATAGCTTTGAATGTAGTAGCTGGCAAAATAAAGAATCAGCAAATCTGAAAAAAAAAATCAGTAGAGATGATGCAGTACAAAGAACATGGGAGAAAAAGAATAAAGAAAAATAAACAGAGCATCAGAGAAATGTGGGACAGCATTAAACACCTGAACATACAAGTGATAGAAGTACAAGAATTAAAGGGGAGATGAAGAAGAGGTAGGAGAAGAAATTGAAGAAATAATGGCTGAATAGCCCCCAAATTCAATTGAGAAAAAAACAACTAAGCATTTGAACAAATTTCATTTAGAAGTAAACACATATAGACTACACCCAGGCACATCAAAGCACTACAGTAGAAAGTCAAAGATCAAGTTCTGAGATTAGTAAAAGGCAAGAAAGCCTCAGTTAAGATCTGATCATATGCAATGGTGGCCAATGGAAGGGGATGCCATATAGGCTAAAAAAGGGGGAAAAAGACAAACAAATTATCAAAATTATCTTTTTTTCAGATTTATTTATTTGAAAGAGTTACACAAAGAGAGGAGAGGTAGAGGGGGGGGGGGTATTCCATCCGCTGGTTCACTCCCCAGTTGGCCACAATGGCCAGAGCTGCGCTGATCCGAAGCCAGGAGCCAGGAGCTCCTTCCGGGTCTCCCACATGGGTGCAGGGGCCCAAGGACTTGGGCCATCTTCTACTGCTTTCCCAGGCCTTAGCAGAGAGCTGGATGGGAAGTGGAGCAGCCCAGTCTCAAAGCAGCACCCATATGGGATGCCAGCGCTTCAGGCCAGGGCATTAACCCACTGTGCCACAGCGCCAGCCCCCAAAATTATCTCTTTTTAAAGATTTGTTTGTGGGGCCGGCGCTGTGGGGCGTAGTGGGCTAAGCTTCTGCCTGAGGCACTGGCATCCCATATATGCGCCATTTTGTGTCCCAGCTGCTCCTCTTCTAATCCAGCTCTCTGCTATGGCCTGAGAAAGCAGTAGAAGATGGCTCAAGTGCTTCGGCCCCTGTGCCATGTGGGACACCTGGAAGAAGCTCCTGGCTTCGGATGGGCCCAGCTCTGGTCATTGTGGCCTTTTGGGGAGTGAACCACCGGATGGAAGACCTCTCTCTCTGTGTCTCTCTCTCTCTTTGTCCGTAAATTTGCCTCTCAAATAAATAAATAAATAAATGAAATCTTTAAAAAAATTTATTTGAAAGGAAGAGTTATAGAGAGGCAGAGACCAAGAGAGAAATCTTCCCTCTACAGGTTTATTCCCCAAATGACTGCAATGGCTATGGCTGGGCCAGACCGGAGCCAGGAGCCAGGAGCTTCTCCTGGGTTTCCCACATGCATGCAGGTGTCCAAGCACTTGGGCCATCTTCTGCTTTCTCAGGTACATCAGCAAAGAGCTGGATTGGAAGTGGAGCAGCAGGGATATGAACTGGTGCCCATGTGAGATACTGGCCCTGCAGGTGGTAGCTTTACCTGCTGTACCACAGCATCAGCGCCTCAAAATTGTCTTTTAAAATAATGAAAACTTCATACTAGACAAACAATATATGAGAGAATTTCCTGCTAAGGAGACCTGCTTTACAGGAAATGTTAAAGTGGGATTTCCAGGCTGGAAACACGGGAAATCTGACAGTAATTGAAATCCATACACAAAAACAAAGACCGTCCAAAACATATAAAACTCAATGTAGAGTGATGTTATTGTGAATATGATAAAGAGGAAGCTCCAAGAAGTAGCCCCTCCCCTGGAGGTTGTGGACAACTGTTTTAGAGACATTATTGAAATAAGCTACGATGGTTCTGCAGCCTGATCCAATCAGACAGTGTCCAGGGGAGCAGCTGATGAAGTAAGAGCCTGGTACACTTTCGAGAATTTCAGCATTTCATTGAGCAGATACCCACCCCCATTCTGCAGTACTGTTGATGTCTGTGAGGCTGGCACCTGACATTTCTGGTGTGACTCACTGTTGCTTTTGAGCTGCAAGAATCGGGGTTATGTATTTTGGTCTTTCTGGCAGATCACAGAGGGACCAGCTGAGTGGTTGGTCAGTTCAGGCTCCTTGGACTAAAGCAACCTATCAAGCAGCATTTATTAGGAGTGATTTAAAGCAGTAGGACCCTGGGGCCAGTGCTGTGGTGCAGTGGGTTAAAGCCCTGGCCTGAAGTGCCGGCATCACATATGGGCACCGGTTCTGGTCCTGGCTGCTCCTCTTCCGATCCAGCTCTCTGCTATGGCTTGGGAAAGCAGTAGAAGATGACCCAAGTCCTTGGATCCCTGCACCCATGTGGGAGATCTGAAAGAAGCTCCTGATTCCTGGCTTCAGATCGGCACAGCTCTGGTCATTGCGGCCATCTTGGGAGTGAACCAGTGGATGGAAGACCTCTCTCTCTGTCTCTACCTCTCTCTATAACTCTGTCTTTCAAGAAAATAAATCATTAAAAGAGAGAGAGAGAGAAATAGGACCCCTTTTCTCCCACTCTTGCTTTACTGTAATGAAACATTAAAGGAAGACTCTATGAGTCAGTGAGCATACATGACGAGGAATACAGTCCTTGTAAAAACAGTTTAGGAAATTGACTGAACAAGCAGGTGACTACATGCCTTAAGAACCACTGCCTGCAGTGCCAGCATCCCATTTGGGCACTGGTTGGAGTCCCACCTGCTCCACTTCCAATCTAGCTCTCTGCTATGGCCTGGGAAAGCAGTAGAAGATGGCCCAAGTGCTTGGGCCCCTGCACCCACCTGGGAGACCCAGAAGAAGCTCCTGGCTTCAGATCAGCACAGCTCTAGCTGTTGCAACCAATTGGGGAGTGAACCAGCAGATGGAAGACTTCTCTCTCTCTGCCTGTTCTTTTCTCTCGGTGTAACTCTGACTTTCAGATAAATAAATAAATCTTTAAAAAATAAAAAGAACCACCATCAAAAATCACTGGAGGAGGAAGAGAAGCATCTGATTTCCAGAGTTACCATATTACAATATTCAAATATTCAAAATATCCAGCTGTAAACAACAAAAGGATGAGAAATGTGTGGCCTGTTCTCTAAGGAACATCTATGAAGAAATCCAGATGTTGGACATCCTAGACAAAGACTTTAAATTTACTGTTTTAATATGCTAAAGAAATCAATGTATAGAAAACACTATCTGAACAATTTGAAGGGTGCATGCATGATCAACAGTTTCTATACACCTATAATCTGAAAACAAAAGTATGAAAATAATTCCATTTACCATAGCATCTGGAAAAGCACAATAGAATAGATTTACCCGAAGAAATAAAAGACATGGCTGTATGACATTGAGAAACATTGCTTAAGGAAATACAGATACACCTGATTAAATGGGAGGACACTTTATGTTCAATGATTGAAGAATGAATGCTGTTAAGATGCTAGTACTGGGGCCATCATTGTGACAGTGTGATTTAAGTTGTTGCCTACAACACCGGCATCCCATATGGGTGCTGGTTCATGTCCTTGATGCTCCGCTTCTGATTAACTTCCCTGATAATGTGCTGGGAAAAGCAACAGAGGATGGCCCAAGTTTTTGGTGCCCCTGCCACCCACATGGGAGACCCTGACAAAGCTCCTGGCTCCTGGCTTCAGCCTGGCCTAGCCTGGCTATTGCAGCTATCTGAGGAGTGAACCAGCAGGTGGAAGATCTCTCTCTTTCTCTCTCTCTCTCTCCCCCCCCCTTTGTCCCTCCCTCTGCCTCTCCCTCTCTCTCTGTAATTCTTTCTAATAAATAAATAAATCTTTTAAAAAAAAAAGAGGCTAGTACTCCCTGAAGTGCACAGAATGAATATGTGCCAGTCAAATGTCAGCAGCCTTTTTGGGGGGCAGAAATAGAAATGCCAACTCTTTTTTGATACACCATTGTGAGGAGCCCTAAACAGACACATCAATAATTAACAAT